ATTATTTTAATTTTTTCTTGTCACATTATTTATGTACTACGTAAAGTTACAAACTTAACGTCTATACGCAGCTGGATCCGCAATAAATAAAGTAAAAAAGAATAAATAGGAAGGAATAAAAATAAGAAAGGAAAAAATAAAATAATAGGAGTGAGAAGAAAAAAATAAAGAATGGAATAAGATTAATAAACAGATCTGGACATTCTGAGGACCAAACTAACCTGTGGTGCAATATACATAAAATATAAATCAAACCTATCAGTTTGTTAATGTCCGTCACTTCTAGCAACTCTTAAAAAGGAATAACAACATCTTGAAATTGTTCCTCACAGTTTGTGGCTCAATTCCGTACTTAATTTGATAGTTTATCTAATATTGCACACTTAATGGCCCAGTCAGAATGGCTTCAGGACAAAATTAAATGTTCGAATAACCCTCTCCTTTATTCCTTTTATTTCTCGTAGATTTATTTTAATTTAGATTTATTTATTTATAAGTTTTTGTTTTATCAAACCATATCTACCATATAACCATACCTATTAAAAATAAAAATAGCCTCATTTTAGACAAATAATTGCCTGTGCAATGAGACAATGGTCTGCATAATCAAAGACACTGGACATACTTATGGAAAGTGGTCCATAGGAAGGAAGGAAGGCAGGAAGCCTTTTATAAGACTTCACGTGCGCTGAAAGTACAACCTTACCTGATGAGCACTTAATACATGAAACTACACTAGTCACATAGAGCAGGTAAAAGCCGTATAAAATTATCCACCTTAATAAACAGGCTTCGAAGGTGATACAGAAAATAATAAGGCAGCTTAGCTCTAAGCGGAGCCCGACATTGCTGCTACGAGCGGGTCTCTGGGGAGGCGTAGCTACGACGGCGTAGCTACGGCGTAGAACTCGTAGCGATACGGTAACGGAGCTAGACTTAGGAAGATTTAGATATTAGTTAAAAAATGAAAAAGTTAATCGCTTCCACCTTCGGTCTGATCATCACTTACCATCAGATGAGATACAAGCCAAGATCTTCCTCGTTATGGTTAAAAAAAATCAACATTGAGGAACTATGTATACGAATTTCATAAGGTTCATCATCACTCTATGCAGAGCTGTGTGACTGAATTGCATTAACTTCGTATCACTTGTGAAAAACTTAGGCTATAGCCAAATTAACCGTCGACTATGATTTTTTTATTTCCATCACAATTATGCAGTCATTTTGCCTGTGTCATTTTTGTATCTCAAATAATGTGTGATTTGAATATTACCTAATTAAAAAGGTAGTTTATGTTCTTTTAAACCAAAACATACTTCCCTATTTTTTTTTTCTCCAAATGAATTAAATAAGTATCAAAATATATCCAGTGCTAAATTAGATTAATAAGATAATGATAAAACTGCTTAAGGAAAGGCGTCAGTTAATTTAGGCTAATCAACCATCTACCAGTCCGTTTACTGCCCTGCCCTCTCTAAACATTTCAAGCCGAACTGTTGAGACGTACGTAATCAGTACCGCTCATCGCCCCACGCAACCGGTAGTTGGATTTCTCGAACCGTGAAATTTTATCAAGAGAATTAATCTCGTGAAACTTTCCCCTTGGACACCGTACTCTTTTATTTTTTAATTTAAAAGAAATTGATTTTACCTTTTTTTGTATTTGACCTTCGCAGGAAATGGGCTTTGATGTTTGGGAAAACAGTGGATTGTATTAAATTGTTTTAAGAGATGACTAAAAAGATAGCAGGAAGGCGCTGGATGCAGGCCACTACCAACCGGTCATTATGGAAATCAACTATGTACAGCATTGGATGTCCTATGCCTGAAATGATGATGATGATGAAAATATGATTATGCTTATCGGTTTGACTTATTGTAACTATATTTCTGACATTATGACTTTGAATATTTTGCAACTGGCTTAAATAAAATTAAACGGAATTAAATAACCAAAGAAAATTAAAATATTTCTAAAATAAAAAATTTTCAGCAAATATTACTAAAACATACTTAGGTACATTAATTTTCCCACTAATTCTGCCTTTGAACATGTTATTAACCTACCTACAAAAGTAAAAACTTTTTGAAGTAATTATTATTATGTCATCCTAAGTTTTAGACAATCAGTGCATTTCCGCATTCCATCAAATCGTATGAGCCTAGTATGTATTGAAAACGCGATTTTTGGACATGGCAATAACTATTTTTCACAATTTCTATTTTTAACAATTACTGATCGATAGGTGACATTTCGCTCTTTCAGAAACCGAATCTGTAAAGGTTCGGCCAAACCAACGCGTGCAGATTTCTGCTGTTTGCCATTGCCATCGCCATCGCGCACGCGGGCTGCACGCGTTGTTAGGCCGAACCGAGCGCTTTCACATTTAGGCGATTTAGCAGCGCGACAAACGCGCGACAGACGCGCTGCCGAAAATTAACGCGCGACAGACGCGCTGCCGAAAATTTCATACTATGTGACAGCTGGTGCGGGAGGCACCATTACACCATTTACATTACAAAAACGCCGCTGCCGCGCTTCTGTCGCGCTACTAGCACCCTAATGTGAAAGCGCTCTACCTCGTTGTGATCAAAGTGATTATTGTTATAAGTACGCACTGGGAGTCAGATTTTGCTTCAGATTTATTTTTCACTATGAAATACTCACTTTGGGTACTCATAAGTCAACTGTCCATTCTTCGTTTTTACATTTGTTTCTATACGAAGTAAATAATTGTATTTCTGTAATTGCAGGGTGATATATGCGAACCGGCCTTAAGTTTCCACAGACATTATCGGCGCGGAAGTCGCAAACTATAATAACGTGTCGGCTATACGCTCACACGCACTAATACTTTCAATCGATCATTGAAAATATTAAGGAGCGTTTATCCTGGTATCAAAGTTTGTTTAAAAGGCCATAAATTATTATGGGTGTTTTTGCTGAAATTTTTCTTAGGGTGGATTCGACCACCCAACAAGAGTTAATATTTATCTCGGAATAAATATTCAGTTTTGACATATTTCCCATACTGAAACTGTTAATGAGCTAGTTAAACCAGGAGTTATTCTCGGATACAATTTTGGTCGAATCAGGCCTTAATGTGCAAACATTTTTAGATAACTGCTTTAGCTCCTATTCTCCTGACACACTGAATAATCAAGCTGAGTTGCATCACCTTAACTTTAACCGTAATATGTCTAGGTATAACCGGTGTTTTTGTATGGAGTTGATAGAGTTTTGGCATTTGTTTAACCTAATGTAAACTGGTGCAACTCAGGGGTTAATATCACAACTATTTTAGTTAATGCTCACACAAAAAATATCTTATGTCTCCACAGGCACGAGTCACTTTTATACTATAAAACTATCCACTTAGTTTTATCTTCCTCCACCAATAATATTAATAAAGACTAAGTGTATTTTTAAGATTTTGTTTCTTGTTCCCAACGTGTCACATCATTCACACATGTAAAGAATTCCCACCAAGTCACACTGTTACTCGATAGGACATATTTAATTTTTGTTTACTTATCTTTGGGTGTCTCTCCTTAGGAACAAGTTGGACCTGGACGTGTCAGTCCTTTAGTGTAAAGTACTCTTTAGGGTAAACCCCTTCCTTCATACGCCTTTTGCATGTTGCAAATAGTAATTATACGCTTCTAAGTATTCATCAGTACGAGGTGTCTTTAAACACTTTCATTCTGAAAGTAATCAATTTGAAAATTTTCACATAAGTTATTTTCAATCTCTTTCAAATTTCATGCAAACTGTTTTAATGTGATATGTAAACATTATTTTATTTCACTTTGTAGTACTCGTAGATACGAGTAAGTAATAAGAGATAGGTTCACTCAATGTACACATACTGAGGTTTTAGATTTCAAGTTGCAGAAGTTTATTGTTGCCGATTATGCGATTTGCAACTGGCATTACTAGTATTAACCCTACCACTGCTTCAGGACAATTTACGGGCCAGTGCAGTGCTGAGAAGAAGCAGCGCAAGAAACTCAGTCACTATTGTCAGCCTCTTTTTCAAAGGTTTACAGGCTTTGAAATATACATAGTTATAAATATTTATGCGAGCTAGGCAGATACGCATTCCAATATGAATAATCAGTGTTTTTTTTAATAATAATAAACTTTATTGCCCTGTTACATAAAGTTTAACACTACAGTACACGCGCCCCATTTTTTACACCAATACACGCGCGGAATACCAACTCTCTGGCGTAAGTTTTTAAAAAGTTATAGCTTAAAATGTCACCTCTCCCATAGTAGGCCATGCGTGTACTCTAGTGTTAACAAATTATGAATATTGTATTTCCTGTAAACTGCAAAACATGGCACTTATCAACAGTTGCACGCCGCTATATTCTATTATTATTATCATAAATTGATTAAAATATAACCATACTCTTGAAAATGAATTAGAGCTCTTATTGTGTATAGATATCTATACACAATAAGATCGAACAAAAAAAAACATTTTGGAAATCGTTTCATTATTGACGGAGTTCTGCGGTGGTAACATACATACAAAAAAAACACTCGATTAAAAATGTAACTAAAACTCTATGAAGTAGGTCAAGCTAATTTGTAAGTAGGTACCTACGATATTTGTACCCAAAACAGACTCCGAAACCAGTTGGCTAGTAATTTTTTTTTCCAAATTGTCCTGAAGCAGTGGTAGGGTTAAAATAATATTAGGACATGTAAAAGAGCCTACTTGCAAAATAAATTAATTTGAATATGTGATATGCCTGGCGCCATCTATCGTATTTAGTAGGTATTCACACATCGAGATTGCGAGACCATGACATCATCACTGGCCGGCGCGGCGTACCGGTTAGACATGTTCCCAAATACTCCCAATCACCCTTCAGTCTTTAGCTTTTAGGTCTAGTTTAGTATGGTAGACCTGCCCGCGTGCCGACTCAGACTTTTAAATGTTCGTCGCCCGCTTTGTTTTAGGTCTAGTTTAGTTTGGCAGGCCTGCCCTTGATGTTGTGGTGTGCGCATCATAGCTTCACATTCGATATTAATCAGTTGGTACTTACAAGTAAGTATTTACATCAGTTTGTGTTTTAGTGACAACAGGATTAACAAACTGAATCGTTTGACAAATCAGGTATGTTAAATATTGTTTTGTTATTTGATTATTTAAAGCAACAACTTACGGAGTACAAAGAATAATATTAAAACAATATATTAAGGAGTACAACGCCAATATTAGTCAAAGCATTAACTCTACATTCAAAGTGTGTTATAAATACACTCTGCTTGTTTGTTTATAACCTTAATAGTTGATGTTGGAGCATATTTTACCTTGTACAACTAAAAAGCGATTTTATTAACACCTAAATCAAATTTCTAAATATGAACTGCCCGGCATCCTTCTTTCCCGAAGCCTTCTTTTAATGAAATAATATTCCTTTTTATTTTAGAACCATGAGCAAATTAAAAGAAATCACCGGTTACAATATGCAGAAGAAACAAGTCATGAGGTTCGTCAATATTGACCAGTTAAATCTGCCACCGATGGATCAGTTATATGAGGTAAACAACAGTCTCAGAACAGATTTCTGAATAATGAAATATTACCTAGTTCTTGCGCTGTAAGATGATGCGTTTGGCCAATGACGGTTCTGAGTCTGATTAAAAAATATGTTTTGACAGTTTAAAACGAGTCTTCCAGCGACTTGGCCTACTTTTAGCTTGGTCCACGGGCCACCACACCACTCACTCAAATGTGATGATATTTTGTTTTTATTTTATATAATTTAAACCGCATTCTTTACATGATTAAGTTGCTAGGAGCACGGTTTTCTAAGTACCCTGTGATTAAATGATTGTACATAACATATAATTATTACATTCACAGCTATGTTTCGTCGATCACAATGGCAAACCTTATGTCTTCAGGAGATTAAAACCCGAAGTTGCAGATGGTAAGAATCATTATCATTGTTTTGTAATTATTTTAGCAATTTATTGTAAGAGTAGCTGTATTATTTACATTTCTTTTTTCAGATAACTTGGACAAACTCAACTGCGAAAGTTTATCTATAGATTTAAATGACATCAAAGAAATTTTTATCAAATTAACAGATGACCAACGAAATATTGTGATGCACGTGTATTACATGTACAGAAATAACAAGAAATTTACCTATGAGAATGATTCTGGGGAGGTTTGTGAAGAAAACCCAAAAATTATATTGCAGGGACCGGCGGGCACCGGTAAAAGTACTATCATAAATTTTATTGAGAAATTGATAACGTGGGAAGAGAACAAAACATCTGATGCACCAAATAATTTAAAAGTAATAAAATGTGCGTTCACTGGGAAAGCTGCTTCTAATATTGAAGGTTTCACTTTAAATTATACTTTTTCAATTCCTATTTATAAAACAACAAGACTTTCTAAAAAACGAATAGAATCTAAAAAAGAATTATTTAAAGACTGCATATTTTTTATTTGCGATGAAATTTCAATGGTTGGTGAGAGAACTATGAGTGCAGTTAACTTGCGTTTGCAACAAATATTTGATAACGATAAATTGTATGGAGACAGGTTTGTCTTATTAGTTGGTGATTTATACCAAATTGATCCAGTTAGACAACGTCCAGTTTACCCTCAATCTAAATTATGGACATGTTGTGAGTTTTATGAATTAACAAAGATCATAAGACAGCAAGATGAAAAGTTCATTACAGCATTAAACAATTTTAGAGATTCTAAAATGACTGAAGAAGATATCAATTTGTTGAGATCTAGAGAAATTGAAGATTACGATCAAGTACCAGAATCAGTTATTCACATTTTTTATCAGAATAAATATGTTGATGAGTATAACAATTTGAAATTAAATAAGTCCACTGAAAAAGAAGAAATCGTTAACGCGGTTGAAGATTCTGAAAACTGGAATCCATCTCATTTACGTGTAAAAATTGGTATACGTTATATGATAACAAATAATATCGACGTAGGTGATGGCTTAGCAAATGGTACAACTGGAATAGTCAAAGATTTTGATTATGATAAAGACGGTGTATCTGCAATTTGGATGGAATTCCATTCCAGCCAGATTGGTAAAAAACTAAGGTCCGACTATTTGAAGATGCATAATAAGTCAGGTTTTGATAACTGGGTTCCCATACCGCGATCAAAGATAGTCGTTAAATTGATATCAGATCCAAAAGTTAGCAAGACTGTCGGTAACATGTTTCCTTTGAAAGCAGCAGAGGCTATAACTGTTCACAAAAGTCAAGGTCAGACTTATCATGAGGGTGTCTGTATACACATTCAAGAAGATGCGTATGATAAATTACGCACTGATAAGAGTTTGCAATATGTTGCACTAACACGTGTTAAGCGTCTTGAAGATTTATACATTATGGGGAAGTTAAATTTTTCTTTAATGAACAGTGCTAAATTTAATCGCACCGAACAAGAAATAAACAGACTGCGGAATGAAAAGAAACTTAAATTAGCTTATGAAACCTTTGAGGATAATAATGGGGATGTTATAATTTATTTAAATACGGGATTAACATTTAACGAACATTACCAATTCGTTACTACTGACAAATGGTACGACAATGCTTCGCTACTAATATTTTCAGAAACAAACACTATAGGATCGGATATAATTGAAATACCAAATTTTGAGATAGCTTTTCGTTCAGATAATGATACCGCTTTGAGGTCAGGTGGGGGAATAATTTGCTATAAAAAGGACAATAAATTGATAGATGTTATTAGTTCCATGTTAGATGATGAAAACAAAATGTATTTGACATTATTTTTATACGAGAATTCTATATACATTGTAACAGGTGTAAAAGGAGACTTGAGTGACGATGATTTTATTGAAGCAGTCAAAAATTTTATACTTAAGTATGTACGAAATGAAAAATGTATATTTCTCGTTGGAAATATTATTATGTCACCTTCTTTAATCAACTTTTTTAATCAATTTAATATAAATACGGAATTATCGTGCAGCATTTCAAATGAAGAACCAAATGATGTAGTGCTTTCCCGAAATATTAAAATTAACGGGGATCAAATGGGATTCTATCAGTACATACCCGCACCCCATCAGCCAATTTTCGTCAAGTTACCTCCTAAGTGCGAATTGTCAGAGAGTCATGGTAACTCTCAATCTTATTACAGCCAGTCTCAAACCTCGACTGATGAATCTCGATCTGTGATCAGTGAGTCTCAAGACTCTCAAGGCACGTATAGTGAGAATCAATCGGAAAATAGTCAGACTAGTAGCTCACAGCCTTGGTCCCAACCCATGGAAATGGATAATTTTTAAAATTCTTATAAATTGTGATTTTCAACCGACTTCAAAAAAAGGAGGAGGTTCTCAATTCGACCCGTATGTTTTTTTTTTTTTTTTTTTTTTTTTTTTTTTTTTTTTTTTATACGCAATATCTCCGCCGATTATAAACCAATTTGAACGATTACTTTTTTGTTGAATAGGTATTATCAAAAGGGTGGTTTCATGTGAATTTGAAGAAAATATTTCACCCCCAAAGGTGGAAAATTGGGGATGAACTTTTTTATAATATACATTAAGAATATGGTCTCAATGTACTGCCTACCTTCAGTGGTAACATCAAGGTAATAATTAGTTAACTAAAAAGCAAGAAATAAGTTAAATTTTATAAAAAAAAATAAAACCGACTCCAAAAAACCTACACTAAAAATTGAATAATAATTACTAATTACCTACTTATTTATTAGGACGAATTATTAATATTTATGTAGGTATACCATGATTGATACTTTTGGAGTCGGTGCAGGCAAACTTTACATGTTTCATAATCTTGGCACCGACTCCAGAAGTATCAATCATGGTATACCTACATAAATATTAATAATTCGTCCTAATAAATAAGTAGGTAATTAGTAATTATTATTCAATTTTTAGTGTAGGTTTTTTGGAGTCGGTTTTATTTTTTTTTATAAAATTTAACTTATGTGATATGTGTTTAGATCATTCTGAAAGTTATTTCTTTATTTTAGCTTTTAAAGTTATTTTTTACCTAGCTCTGTGTTTATTGTTTTGTTAGAAATATGAAAAAAAGGCGAATTCAAGGAATTTGATTACCTCACTTGAGGTTCGGCCAAACTAACGCGTGCAGTGCAGCCCGTGTGCGCGATGGCGATGGCGATGGCGATCAGTAGAAATCAGTTGGGTCGCCATCGTGCTTCGTTGCATATAATAAAAATCTTGAAGATACGAGTATAAACTGCATAAAGACTGTACATTGAATAGTTTAAAAATATATTTAGATTAATATTGTCCAGCAGTGGACGTCATTTGGCTGAAACGAACGAACGAACGAAATACTTAGTAACCGAAATCAGAGCATTTGATTCTTCGATGACGCGCATGGAATGTTGGATCTAAAGGAAGACTGGCGTTTGGCGTTGGCATAACGGAATCCCGCCTCCCGTTTATGCGAATTCAAATTATACGGAACAGCGAATGATTCGAATACTTTTATTTACGCTATTTTGTGTCAAATAATGTTTAATTTACGAGGGTTTCGGATTCCCGACATTTATTACGATCAGCGGAGGATTAAATTTCAATATACGAGCCATTTATTCAGCATCTAAGCTTCTTTTGCGCGCTGTGATAAGTTGTCTATCACATGAAAGCGAAAGATAAATTACCTACTATTTTGTCGTTTTACCAGTGTAGACGGGCTAAATAATATTATCTACTATTATTGTATTATTATTTAACTGAATCCAAATGTACGAGTATCTAGGTTAAGTTTTGTTAAGTAATAAATGTATTTTATTAATTAAATTAATATTATTATGTGTACTCTTATAATAAAATAGATAAGTCGTAGTCAATATACTATTAGTGATAGAGCCTGGCTATAAAATTAGAATAAATATAATTAACTACAACTGTCAACTAAGTCTAGTATGAATATTTTAGTACCCTCATAATAATGCAAAGCAATGGCTTAACTATTTTTTTCCTATTGTAGGTAATAATAAAATACTAGGTTAAATAAAAATACATCGAAGTTTGTTAGGGCAGTGGTCCGTGCTCTCTTTTAATTAATTGGAGTGTTGAAGTTATATTTGCACCTTGAAAGCAACTCCATTAGAGAATGAAAGTCGTAGAATGAATAGAGGGTATTCAGCAGATGTCGTCTGTCGCATAGAGGGTGGGCTCGAATGCTGCCCTTTTGATATTTTTGCCACCTTCAGGTATATTTTCGTTGAAGCGGGCCGGTCGTGGGGCGTACGGAACTATTGCAGTAAGAGCATTCTGGCTACGACTAGAACGAAAAGACCACGCAAAGACCCGCGTAGGCCCCGTAGCTGTGTGAGAACGCCTTAAAAATTGTTACAAGTGGTTGTATTGTACAAAAAATGATTTATTGCACTAAAAATGTAGTACTTTATTGTATGTTTGTCAACTGTGTACAAACAAATTATTCTATGTAAAACATGAATGTGGTATGCGCCATTATATAAATACTTTTTGACCATCACAATGCGTTTTCATTTCATAATACAGTGTGAGTCACGTTAAAGTGTACATATGAAAGTAGATGAAACTAGGCCTATTTTTATGGACAAAAAAAGAGGTCAAAATTTTTTTGAGATTTTTTTAAATTTTTTTATAGAATTTTTTTTCTTTCAATTACTTATTGTAAAGAAAACGTAATAACTTTTAAACTAAGCGGTATATCCCGATAAAATAAAAACATTAATAATGATAAATAACAGGCGATACTAAAAAAATACATAAGAATACACAAAAAAGGCCAACAAATAATAAAAAATGATACTTTTTGAAAAAAATCTGCTTTTAAATTCGTGTTTTTTTGGTTATTTGATAAATTTCTCCAAAAAATACCCCTATAACCGGTAGTTTTTATTACTTTGTATTATTCTCTATCGTATTATCTTTGTAAAACCAAAAATCGCATGTCTCTATCCCTATCACAACATTTGCTATGATCGTTTGAACAAAGGCCTGCCACAACATTATTCTCCGCTACAGGTAGAGACAATTTTAATTTTAACTAAAATGCTTATTTTACTTCGAAATATTTTGTTTTTATTTGAAATCTAACTTGTCTTTATCAAAATTACAAATCTAGAGCCATTTTCAGTTTCGTTGTTAACGAAGCGTTAAATGGCGCGCCCGGAGAGGCTTAGTTCAAACGATCATTGCAAACGTTGTGATAGGGATAGAGACATGTGATTTTTGGTTTTACGAAGGTAATACGATAGAGAATAATACAAAGTAATAAAAACCACCGGTTATAGGGGCATTTTTTGGAGAATTTGATCAAATAACCAAAAAAACACGAATTTAAAAGCAGATTTTTTCAAAAAGTATCATTTTTTATTATTTGTTGGCCTTTTTGTGTATCTTATGTATTTTTTTAGTATCGCCTGTTATTTAGCATTATTTTTTTTTTATTTTATCAGGATATACCGCTTAGTTTAAAAGTTATTACGTTTTCTTTACAATAAGTAATGAATTGGAAGAAAAAAAATTCTATAATTTTTTTTAAAAAAATCTCAAAAAAATTTTGACCTCTTTTTTGTCGATAAAAATAGGTCTAGTTTCATCTGTTTTCATATGTACACTTTAAACTTTAACCGACGACGTGATTTTTTTGTCACGCCCTCTGCGACGTGCGGTCTGTGGGACCGCTATACTGTTTACTCAAAAAGTAATATTTTTTTGTATAAAAGTATATTGGTTTTATATTTTTTGAGAACATTATAGTATTACAAATAAACATACGTATAATTTGTGAGGAATAAATGTATATTATTTATTTAAATATGGCGAAAACTTTTTTGACCCTTAATTTCATTGAAATTACACTAGAGCTCAATAATACCTATATAACTTGTAAATTTTAATCAAAGCAAGAAAAACTATACTCCTTCCAAAATATACTGAACATAATTAATAAAATAAAAATAAATGACACGTACATTACATGCACAAAAAAAATTGACGTAGGGTAAACATTAGGCACAATCAGGACATTATTTTTTACCGCATGCCAAGCATTTTCGGTATGCATAGGTAACACCTGTAAGATAATTTCGATTTCAATTTAATGTACGTCCTTTTTGCAGCTGGTGCAATGACATCAGGCTGATTTGGCATGTCAGAGCCTAGAGTAGATGTCACTGTTTGCTTTACCACCCGTTTCGCGGTATTTTTTTACAGACTACCATCTTTTACATAATATTATGTCCTAATATCAATATATCATTAGGAAATGTCTTTTGCTAGGTTGTGGTGGCCCAGGATCCATCAATTTTACAAAAAATGAGTCGTCTAAAACAAAAACACATGTTTTAGTATGGTACAAAAAAGTCACGTAGTCTGCGACGTGCGGTCCCACAGACCGCTGTTGAACTTTAAATCGAATTATCTTATCAAAACTGCCCTTATCGATGTAACCACTACCTGTAATCGCGTATGGGCAACTAAACTCGAAGGTACTGAGACGCTCGGGACACGGGAGTAAGTAGAACATTGCAGTCCAGAAATTTCAAAAACCGGAGCGGTCTGTGAGACCGCACGTCGTCGGTTAAAGGTTAACGTGACTCACACTGTATAATTCCAATATTACGCCCAAAGATTTCTTTTTACGACGAAAGACCTATGTCTTGTAAAATTCGTATTACATGATTCAGCGCCTGATTCATGAAAACGTAACAGAAAGACAGGGTATCCGCATCTAATATTGTCGAAAATCGATCTCAGCACGATTGTGCCCTCTCAGGAAACTTTCTAACGACATAACCGTGCAATTGATATGCCCCAAGTGTAGGCCCATTGTAAAGAAAAGAAAATCCCTATCCGAAAATCTTGGGTGAGTTAGGAGTTGGGTTGCATCAGTATTCGACTCATGCCGACGCCCGGTGTCGGTTCCTTCCCGCCCTCTGCGGTAAACTCCTACAGTAATTTGACTTTGTTGTTATAACTCAGTTTTAGTTGTTTGTCGCCGTTGGCAGATTTATTGCTTTAGTGAATGTCGCTAAATAGTCAAAGCGAAGCAAATTGATACTTTCAGTTGTTGTGGACTGTTATTTGCGATTTTTTGCGGGTATTATTTTATTACTGATTTCGTCAGTTGTGCCTACGACTTTGTACGCGTGAAAATTGTTTATTTTTTCTTTCTTTTTACACAAAACAAGGCAGGTACCTATTGGACCGCAATCGCACCTTATGATGTTGAGGGTGATAAGCAGGCTAGGTACCATCCTGCCATGTAAGTGCCTAATCACTCTCGCCTTCAAAATGCTGGATTATAT